GAGGGTTAGAGTGAAATCACAACTCAAGTCTCAGGAGTTGCCAGACCAACCCCCAGATTTCCGAGAGGGATGTGCGAGATATGTAGAAGGGAGGCCGGTTGATGTGTTATTTGACTTATTTGGCATCATCCCGCTTCTGCGCCATGATTCTTGGCTACGCCTGGACTCTGGACCATTTTGCATTCTGTGATTGTCGGAACCGAGGCTTTCGTGCGTAGCTGAGAGACGCAGCGAGGCGGAAGGATATTTGCCCCGAGTGAACCCTCAACGCTGATAACATAATACATCTGAAGGCCGAATACTCTTTTAAGCACGTATATCACCTCAGGATACAATATAAATAAGCTCGAAGCTATAACGCTCATTCCGTTACAACTACTATGTTCGCCACGAAAACACATCCGCGCCTGTGCCGGTACTATGCCTGTTGCTGTTCGGCCCAGACTGGGAAGAACGCGCAGTCCTACTGGAAGCCCTACTCTTCTTCTCAGCAGCCAGCTTAGCATACCGTTGCTCGAATATGGTGAACGCCGTGCTTGTGCCACTCCAGAAATCCCGCATCGGTGGTTGCTTCTTGGCCCGCACGGACGAGCTCCTGGTGGTCGTGGCTCTCGTGGCTCTCGTGGAATCTGCTCTGTCGACTGCGGCAGTTCTTTCAGGCTTGACGAATAGGCTCTCAGATAGATTAGGAGGCTTTCGTAGTTGGGATGTGGTGATAGGTATTGAGGTCTTTGCCTGTGGGTCTGGAGACTCTTGATTTGATGTCCGCAGTGAAAGACTCCTGTCAACGTCGGGCGTTCCCAATTCGGGTGAGGCGGTACGAGCAGCACCTTCACGCCATCTTTCGATGGAATCAATGCGATCTTCGATGGCGTGCTCCCTAGCTTGGCCAAGACGCTCAAACCGCCGACGTTGTTCGGCAATCTTTTCTTTTGCTGTCAGTGGTTTTATTGTCTTGGTTGGCGGAACCGGCGCAGTACCAAAGATTTGCTCTCGTTGGGGTACCAAGATGTCGCCTAGAGTCGACCTTCTCATTGTAGCATCTCGACTCGAATGCTTTTCGAGGTCAGAGGGTCTGATGATCCTTTCATGGTGTCTTGGGTCAACGAATTTATGAAAGAATTCAACAAACCCCATAGCTGCTGTTCCTGCACCCCTTGTATAAGGCTGATAGCTGTGGTAATGGTGAAAAACAGCATCGTCGAGATGGGATGGATGTATCGATTTGGGCCATTGTTCGCGGATCCAGATTTCCTTGACAAAGCAGTATGAGTTGAGGAAATCATCCACTTTCCCTTCGTAGTCGGGATATGACGCCCGGTACCTTTTGAAGAGACTATCAGTCCCGTCCGACTCATCTGGCATGGCTTTGACGTCCTCGTTATAGCCTCCACCATATGCAGATTGACGAGTGATTGGTGTCGACGACTGCCTTGGTGCCATAGCTGTAGACTCTGGCTGCCGGCTGCACCTTCTCTGGTTTGGCAACGGTTCCGATGTATCGCTGCTGTCGTCGTTATCGAGCCTAGATGACAAGAGAGAATGAGCTGTCGAGACCTTGGCCTCACTAATCGACCGTGAGGCCACCGGGGAATGTTGTCTTCTTTCCTCACTAGGTTCTGTGTCGTTGGCGTCGCGCGACTTCAAGTCGAGCAAGGCGAGTAGCCATCTACCTTCTGGAGTGTGTGCCGATGGTGAGATGCCGGCGTCATTACCAAACAATACTGAGCGAGAGCTTTGGAGCGGCGGCGGTTCTATTGGAGGTGAACCAGGACGTCGCATCGAATCTTTGGGCTTGGCAATCTGTCTCAATCGGTGCTCGTGATGCTCTATCTGTCTCTCGAGGACAGGTATGCAGTCGGGACCGACGACCAGGCCTTCTTCGCCCCGCCGCTGCGTTTTCATTGGGACGTCGCTGCTTCCTGAACCTGTTCGCTTCCTTTTTGCAGAAACCGAAAGCATCTCGCGAGCCTCAGACATGGGGGTTGCAGTGGCCTTTCCACTAGACCCACCAGCTGCTTCCCTTGTTTCTTTTGGACTGTCTGCCACAGTCTGATCAGCTCCTTCCGCGCATGGTTCAGCGTCAACCACTCTTACTCCCGCTGTCTCCGGATTAGGAGGTTGAGGACCCAGGTCATCGCTTTCGCCAGAAGCCCCCCGACCTTGCTGATCAGGAAGATCCTGGATATTTCTTCGGGAGCCATTTCTTCCAGAAAGCGAAATGTCCAAGTTGGCACTGCCGACAGAGCTCGAGGGCTCTCCTAGGATAACATTTTCGTATTTGGATTTCATTGCTTCACAATCTTGTGACTGAACATTTGTTACGGCGGGGCTATTTTGGTTCGACTCTTTAGTAGTCGAATCTGAGATATCATTTGCCGACAGAGCCCCCTGGGTGCGTTCTGTTGTTGCAGCTGCAGCGATCTCACCTGAGCTTGGTTCATTGTAGGTGCCAGGGACAAAAGTTGAAGCAGGATTTCTATCACTAGTCCTTTTCTTTGGAATTGTCGGAGCGTCTCGTACAGCAAGGAGCCGGGACAGATTTAAGCCTTTGCCACCGTATGGCGTTCTTGTAACTTGTATTTTCTCCAAACTGGAGCCACCTGACACCCTTGTGGTCGTGGAAGCTATTTCCTCTTGGGACGAGCTCTTGTCATTCGGATCAGCATGCGGAAATTGCACCGAATGTGGTACTTCCGCAGCCGAAGATAGATCAGCACCGTCGTTTGAAATTCGTCCAGGAAAACTAGGGCTGCGATCATTAGATGGTGACTTAACTCTATCCCCTTGTTGCTGGCTGGTGAAGCCTGCGAGCGACGGATCGGGATCACTTAGCATTGCACTTTCCTGATTTTCTCCGTCACAGGCAATACGGGCAGGTTGTCTCTGTCGCTCTAGGTTCGGGGGAGGACTGTTTGGTGGCAGTCTGAGTACTCGCCGCTGTTGAGTTGGCGGACTTTGAGACCAGGCGACGAATTCTTCAGAATCGCTGGCATTCTCTTCATTCGAGTGGGCCGATGCCAACTCATGGCGTTGTTCATGTTGAGCCGGAGGTAGATCTTTCCCTGAGGCCTCAGCTTCTGTATCATCTGGCGACGACGCGCGGCTGTTTGCTCGCTCATCTGCAGCGTCGCAGAGCTGCACCTGGAGGGCTAAAGGCACCTCTCCCGGTCTCGGTGTACGACCGACAAGGGGTGGCTGCCAGCTGTTCCCGGATTCCAAGAGCGACTTCAACAAGTTTGCTTGTTCTCGTGGGATATGTTGAATGTGTCTAGGAATATATCTGCCTCCTTGTGCCTGTTCCCGCCAACGCTGAAAACGACTTGGCGGCACTTCAGCCGATTGCGGGACAGCAGCTCGCTTTCCAGGACTCGATTTCGTCGCCAGCTTGGATGGCTCATCGTGGCTGTGGTCTCCCGACTCTCTCGGAGAAACTGGAATGTCGGCCCCAAGCTCAGTCATTTCCACAGGGCTACTTTGGTCGTTTCCCGTTGTGATGGCAGGAGTACTCAGAAGTCGGGGCGGGGTAAGATTGGCTGAATTTGACGGAGCTCTCGATTCAAATCCTGGTCTCTGCTTGGTATTTCTGGATGCGGACGATAGGATCTCAACGTGGGGCTTATTGCTTTCCCTCTTTGGCGCGAATGGACTATCCTTTGATACAGGCTCTTGCATGGGCTTTGAAGGGAGACAGGTTGGAGAGCCGTTTGGTCTTTTTATATCCTGGGGTGACGCGAGAGAATGGCCTTTGCCATTAGTGTCTGACCCATTTACTTTGCAGGCCGCCGGGTTGGATGATTTGGTCAGGCTCCAGCCACTGAGATCAATGGGTACCTGTGTGCAGAATGGCTGAGAGAGATCTTCCTCAGCGTCCTCATCAGGTTTTGTAGCCCCGTGATGTGCCTGTGTGCTGCAATCAACTTGCGATTGGAAAGAGTCTGTGCTGGCACGTGAGACCGGCCTCGAGGGAGCACGATTGCGTCTTTTCAGGACCCAGTACTGAGACATCCTTTCGCGTACATCTGGGTCCTCAGTTACAGAACAGCCAGAATTGAAGCCTTGTCCCAACCGACCCGTCTCCTCCACAATCTTGCAGGTTGTAATCTGGAGCAATGGTTTCGGTGGGTTGACATGAGGGGTGACTCGAAGGACAGGATCAATAAGGTGTAAGAGTGTTCCCTGCTGGGCACCGGACTGTATCATTTCAGTTGCCGTGCCCTGAGGGAAGATGGTCTCTATACTGTGTATTCCATCAGAGATCTCGCCCCTGGGTTCGGTAGAACCAAGTTTCGCAGGCTGATGGAAACGGTTAGCCGCCTAGGACAATCCAAGGATCGAATGCGATTTTACCTTTAGCAAGCGCACAGTCTTTCGACATGCCGCCTTGTAGCTTGCTTTCAGACTACCGTCAATTTTCTGGAACTGAAACTCGGCAGAGCGACATCCTTGGACCTCGCCGAACCACGCATCGAGGGCGGTCTTGATGAATTCGGCCAGCCATGGCTTCTGGGATTCCATGGGCTCCGGCAGAGTAATGCATGCGAATAGACACGGTCGGTGTGAACAAGCTGCATCGTCGTCGCAACGGGCATTGCTGAATGTCGGTGTTTTAGGTCGCCGAATGCGCACCCACACGTTCGCAGATGGGAGTCTGACCGACGCGTTCTGACGCGACGCCCTTTGCCAAGCCATGACGTTGGATACCTACTTGTTAGTGCAGTTGTATGTGGCGCAGGTGGCGGCCTTCTGCGGCTTCATCTTCTGTGGAGAAATAATGATCGCATTCACATCGACGACCACACAGTCACACAGTCCCAAGGCTGCTCCATGCGTTGTTGCCGACGGTGGCACCCATCTCCTCAAACCGTGGCGATATCTGTTACCATCACTCGAGATGAGTTTCCGAGCATGAAGCCATCCGAGTATCACCACGATACCCGTCTGAATGCGGGCGGCAGACCTCCAGATTGACGACGGACGAAAAATTCAAGGCTTACACCATGTCCCCTTCTTCCACTACTTCCAACCCACCGGACAAGGACAAGGACAAGGGCAATCAGAAAGACAGGGACAGTCCTTCCGCATCTTCCATCTTCCTCCCTCTCGGAAGAAAAGCTCGTCGGGACTCCAAATCATCCTTGTCTCACGATCTTGATCAAGATGCGCTCAACCACGCTCTCAACAGCATCCATACTGCGGCATCCCAGTCGAACAACTTGACCGTCTTCAATGACTACACCGACCCTCCCACTGCCTCCTCTCAGACGGAGAACAAGTCTTTGGCTAGCGAAATACAAGGAGGCATATCCGGCTTGTACAACAAATTGAAGGCTACAGTGGGTGTTTCCAAGGATGCTGACGACTCTCCTCAAGAAGTGTCTTCTGCTCTGCCAGTGGCGGACGATCGAGCCAGCTCCAAATTCAGCTCCGGTCTCACATCCAAAGCCCCGTCTCCACGCCTGACAGCCTCAGACGCCACGATTCCGACCGATCCACCCCCATCAAAGGTGTCTTCCAAGGCCACCAGCATCTCGAAACCCTCCATACCTTCTACTCCTGCTCTGCGCTCGCCCACGGGTCCTCCGCAGCCTTCTTCTCACCTCGCTGACCCTTCTGTCACATCTGTGAATATCCATGCTGTCGGCTCGACGAACCACTCCAGGGCTGGTTCTGGCTTCGAGCTGGAGTCTCCCCATGAGCGGAGTTTGACAACCTCCGCAGACAGCGAGAGTCTGCGCAAAGCTCTTTCCAAACAGGGAACCGAGACCTCCTTCTCTGACAGGGGGAATAAGCTGATAACCTCGCCGCTCTTGAGTGCCAGAGGGGTGTCCACCTCCCATGATCGAGGTTTGTCAACCAACTCAAATCAAAGTCATTTTAGCCATGCCGATGGTGTAGCTAGTCCACCGCTACTGGCCTCACCTCAAGGGGAGAGATCGGCTACTCGGGTGGTGGCGGCGAATAGACAAGAAAATGCTTCGCACCAAAGGCATATAAATCCGTTAGACCTCTTGGCCGAAAATGCTATCAACTCGACGAAAGCCTCGTCAGCCTCTCAGAGCAAGCCTAACGAACTCTCTGGCCTAAAGTCACCCCTTCTCTCTACTTTGGAGCAGAGACCACCCGAGAAACTAGCTCCAAAAATAAATCAGTCGAGATTGCCGGGTTTCTACGCCTCGCGAACGACTTCATCAGACTCCTCGGTATCTGCCGGCCTGTTGCGCACAAACCTGGACCAGCTTGACGAGGATACACGGAGCATTGTCATCAATCGTACTCACCAGCCGAGACCGCTCAGCAAGCTACGCAGCAAGTTGTTAAGCAAGGAGTTCTGGATGCGAGACGAGAACGCAAAGGATTGCTTCCATTGCGGCGAGCAGTTCACGACATTCCGAAGAAAGCACCATTGCCGCACATGCGGTCAGATCTTTGACAACAAGTGCACGGTCCTCATCAGCGGAAGTCATTTCGGGTCCAACAGTGCTGTTCGCGTTTGCAAACCCTGCGAATCGATAATCACTTCCCACGACGATGATTCTTCCGATTACTCTGCTGAAGACCTGACTTTGACGGACTCGAATGCTCGTCCACGGACTCCTGAACCCTCTCTATTTACCCGCGCCATTCCCAGATTTGAGGATGACAATACTTCGGTTACTTCCCAGTCTCTTGAACAGATGGCCAGGACGCCCACAATGAGCTTTCCGGTGCGACGAGCTTTCGATGGCGCTAACCGTAACTCTGCAGTGCTGGAATTTGATACCACGGATCGACCACTACCTCGTCCAAGCTCTTCCAGATCTTTGAAAGCAACTCATTCTATTGGTCACGGCCACAAGAGGCACCACTCCAGGCACCAGCACATACGCAACTTCAAAGCGTACCATGAAGACAGAGCACCTTTCCAACGTCGTGCTGCCGAGGAGGGACTCAAAGCTGGCAAGTCTTCAGCTTTTCACCGAGATAGCATCATTGATCCTGATCTCGCACAATATCTCTCGGATGATCCTTCCAGTGAGGAAGACCAGTCTATCAACGAAGCCTTGAACCAAGATAAATTGTCCCGCAGTGAACCTGATAGCGAGAAAAGCGCGATTGGTGGTCTGTTGGCAGCCGTGCGCAAGGGCCGTTCTCGACTCGGGGATCGAAGTATCGCTGGATTTCTTAACCTGGGGAGAGAGGCGGATGAAGCAAGTGTCATCAGTTCACGTAACATAGAAGCACTCAAAGGTTCTCGGAAGCGGAATCTTAGTGTTTCAAGCAGCATCCACCGTGGCACCCCGAGAACAACCAGAGAGAGACTGCAAATCATCATCCCCGGCAATCAAGACGATCAACAAGACAGTTTGGCAGATTCGGCAAGCATCTACCGAGGCCGTTCTAGAATGATTCGAAGTGCATCCATGCATGGGATGGCTGCACCAGCCATGGAACTTAATCGTGCAAGCATCCAACATGTGCATAAAATGCTTCAGCAACTTCTCAGGGATGCGAACATACCAAAAGTTCAAAGTTGGGAGGATGCTCTTATTCCGATCTTGCTCAAAGCCACCGACGACGTCGACCCAGATGTTCAGGGTGGAGACGACATAGACATTCGTAACTACGTCAAGCTGAAAAAGATCCCCGGAGGCAAACCGGGTGACACTGCATACATTTCTGGATTGATCTTCACAAAAAACGTGGCTTTGAAGAGTATGGCTCGGTCCCACACAAATCCCAAGATTTTGATCATCACTTTCGCGCTTGAATATGCCAGGCATGAACAGCATTTCATGAGTCTGGACCCTGTCATCAGGCAAGAAAAGGAGTATCTGGCCAATCTTGTTGGACGCATCGCCGCCTTGAAGCCTGACGTCCTTTTGGCTCAGCGGAGCATATCTGGCCTCGCCCTTGAGCTACTGGAGAAAGCAAAAATCACAACCATTTTCAACGTAAAGTCATCGGTTCTCGAAGCTGTATCACGGTGCACGCAAGCCCGTGTCGTCCATTCTATGGACAAATTGACCTCTTTGTCAGACCCCTTCGGTCGCTGCGACTCTTTTGAAGTAAAGACCTTCGTGGCTGACGGGCGAAGGAAAACCTACGTTTATCTCTCGGGGTGCCCCCCTCAGCTTGGGTGTACAATTGCACTTCGAGGTGCCGACCGGCAGACCTTGTCTAAGATCAAACACGTCACTGAATTCATGGTGTACGTTGTTTATAATTTGAAACTCGAAACTTGTTTGATGAGAGATGAGTTTGCCCTGATACCGAGCGCACCTACTGCTAATGCCACTGAAACAACTGCCAGCGTTCTTCCGAAGGCTGCGGCAACTGACAATGAAGGGACGTCGCAAGATGTTAACGAAAACACTGAAAAAGTTGAGACCCATGTTGCTGAAACTGGAGACGTCTCGAATGCAGAAATCATTGCTCTGGAGAAAGAAGTCCGTTTTGCTCAGGCAGCCAGGATGGATAGCACAGATTCGGCACACATACCAGAGGACATACCTGTGCCGACGTTTTATGAGGACCTTGTCCTTAAGCATGAGACCCGCATCCTTTCAGCCTCACCATTTGTCAAATTCATGCAGCCATATCTTCTTATGCGTGCGAGAGAGTTGGAAAGACGCGTTGCATACCTCAAGCGGCTCCGTGACCAGGATCTCTCGGCCGAACAGACGATGGAAGATAAGGGCAAGACTTCCAAGTTCACCTTGATTCAGCCAGAAATGGTTCATAGACCTCTTGCAGGAGCAAGCAAGAAGGTTCGCGAGATCATCCACGCGGTACACGATGCCGAGTATGATAAGGCGGTCTACAACTATGAAAGCCAGAAAAAACAGTGGGAGACCTATCTCTCGGGAAACCGCAATCTCTTTGACCCCTTCGCTCACCAAAACATTGTCGTCTTGTTCAGTCTAGTTTCCACGGAGACGTCCGTCCCCTGCTCTGGCCCGGACCTTCTTGCCTTTAGTTTTTACAACGAACATGAGACCGAGGCTGAGTTCGAGGCAGATTGTACTCTTGGGCAATACGTTGAAGATTTGTGCTACCGGGCAAATGACATCTGCCCATCCGACGCCTGCGAAAAGAAAATGCATGAGCATCATCGTCAGTACGTCCACGGCGAAGCGCAGATCACAGTCTTTGTACAACCATACCCATCGAAGATGCGTGGATTCCAGGATGTGATTTTGATGTGGAGCCAGTGCAAGATCTGTGGTGTTGAGACCACTGTTACCCCCATGTCCACAAGCACTTGGAAATATTCATTCGGGAAGTATCTTGAACTCTCATTCTGGAGTGCAGATCTCCATGCTCGGGCCGGGATCTGCCCGCATGACTTGCACAGGGATCATTTTCGATACTTTGGATATAAAGATTTTGCCCTTCGCGTCCATTATGATATAATCGACCTCCTTGAGATCATTGTGCCGAGAATGAGGCTTACATGGAAGATCGACAATGACTTGAAATTTCGAAATGATTTCTACACACGCCTGGAACACCGCATCACGAAATTCATGGTGTCTGTCAAGCTTCGTCTTAAGAACATCAACGCAGAGGCGGTCTTGCCCGAAACAGCTGACGCATGTCGCGCCGAGATCGAACGACTAACAAAGAAAGCCAATGAAGAACACGCAGGCCTCATCAAACAGCTTCAAGAACGGTATACGAACACGAGATACTGGGAGACAATACCACTTAACGCTGTCCTACGGGCTACACAAGAGAAAGTGTCTGAATGGGATGACTCTTTTGCAGATTTTGAGCGGAACTACTTCCCTTCGGAAACAGACATTCACCGACTCGCGACTCTGCAACTCAAGAAGATCTTCCTCGACCGCGATGTTTCAGTTGCGTCCTTAAAATCCGACGATGAAGGTGCTACCACGCCTCCCACTGAAGAGGTCGTTGACGAGAAAGGAGAGACAGTGGAAACACCGACCGAAGCGCGACGGCCTAGCAAACTTTCACCGGAAAAGACCCAGAGTTTTCTTCAAAGCGTACTGGAGGAGCATGCTACTAGCCCTGCGGATGAGACTGGCATTTCAGTATCGTCGGAAGTCACAAAGGCGGACATCCATAACCTCCCCTCTATTTTGGATGGGCCCCATAACGTTGAAGATGTGAAACACCTCGATTTGGCGATAGCGCCTCCAGCCCAACATGCAATCCTTCCTGTGGAAGACATTTTCAAGCAGAACTCACTGGCTTCGACCCCGGATCATACATGTGAGAACGAACAGCGTGAAGATGGGATCAGCCTTCCCACCCCTGACAAAATGGAGGTGCCCCCAGACATCCCAGAGATTGTTGTCCCAGCGCAGCAGACTCAGCCGATTGAACTGCCTCAGCCTGGCGTCCGTGACGCCTCTGCATCTGATGTCTTACGGAGGCGACTTGATGGGAAGTCTTCACCGGGGCTTGCTCGAGCTCACTCGCAGCCTGCTGGTTCTGTTGCCCTTCGCTCATCAGCTGCTCAGACAACTCCGAGCACTTTGTCAGCCGTCAATGCAATGAACGGTTTCCCTAAACAAAGTCCAGCAATATCTGCTAATAACAGCGACCCCGACCTGATTACCCCTGATAAAAAGCTCTCTGAGCGACTAGGCTTTTCTCATTTGAAGAACAAGACATTCTCAAAGGGTCAGTCATTGATACCGCGAGCTGTTACAAACCGGAAAGAATCTAGAGTCTCCAGTCTTGCCAAACACTTCGAACAGTTGAGTCGCGAGTTCGAGAGGGAGCGGATTCGCGAGAGAAGGCAACGCGCTGCAAGAAATATGCAGTCAAGAGTCTACCCTCTTGCAGCACCGAAACCCATCGTCGAGGTAATCAAGGACGTCGATGTAACTATGGATGAACGCGGTGATGCCGATGATATCTTTGGCAAAGATGATGACCGTCCGGCGGGGGAGATGGAGAAGGCATCAGGCACCGCCGAAGGCATGGCCAAGATTTGTTCGCCGGGGGAAAGCAGGGCTGAGCCTCACGATGAAGAACCGGCAACCAACGCTGCAGAGAATGAGACTGACATTCAGCCCTCGAGCCAAGTGCCTTCTGAGGCTGAGGACGGGAGCGATGTCGACGAAGCGGAGGAAGAGATCTTTCTACCTGATTCACCTGAAGATCTAATGCGGATGTCTCAAGAAGATATTGATCTCAAGGAGCTCCCGAAACATGAGCGCACCTCGCTGATGAAGATGTTGACCAACTTCTGGGCTGAACGGTCCTCGAGCGGTTGGACGAACCTAGAATATCCTTTGGGAGCATCTGAGCACATCTTCGCTGACTGCGACATCATTGTGCGAGAGGATGAGCCAAGTTCCATCATTGCCTTTGCGTTAGACTCGCAACATTACACGACGATGCTTCAGAACATGCAGAACCGAGCTCCGCAAGAGGACATCGCCAGTGATTTTAGCGGCCACGACCATACTGACGATTTGCAATCTGATGTCATGCACTCGCTCTTGCGCAAGACAGGGACGCATCTCAAATATCAGTTCCAGGAAGGCCCAGCCAAGATGCTGTGCAAGATCTTCTTCGCTGAACAATTTGATGCTGTTCGCAGGAAATGCGGTGTCGCTGACAGATTTGTCGAATCGCTCTCAAGGTGTCTGAAATGGGATTCCAAGGGTGGCAAGACCAGGTCGCTGTTCTTGAAAACCCTAGATGATCGGTTCATCTTAAAATCACTGTCCCCCATCGAAACGCAGTCCTTCCTCAAGTTCGCGCCAAATTACTTTCAGATCATGTCAGAGGCCTTCTTCCACGAGTTACCCTCGGTAATCGCCAAGATGTTCGGTTTCTACCAGATCATCGTTAAGAATCCCTCGACGGGACTCGAATACAACTGGTTCCTACTGGTAATGGAGAACCTATTCTATGACCGGGTCCCCACGCGTATCTTCGACTTGAAGGGAAGCATGCGAAACCGCAAGATGAACGCAACGGGCGAAAAGGGCGAAGTTTTGCTGGATGAGAACATGGTCGAGTTCATTTACGAATCACCCCTTTTTGCTCGCGAACATAGCAAGAAACTTTTGAGGTCGTCCGTCCACAATGACACTCTATTCCTGGCGCGCCAAAATGTCATGGACTATTCGCTAATGGTCGCTATCGACGAGAATCGGAAAGAGCTTGTCGTGGGCATCATTGACTGTATACGCACCTATACATGGGACAAGAAACTCGAAAGTTGGATCAAAGATCGTGGCCTTGTTCCGGTGCGTGGCGGAAACAAGAACAGACCGACAGTGACATCTCCAAGGGAATATAAGAGAAGGTTTCGAGAGGCGATGAATCGGTATGTTCTTGAAGCGCCAGATTGTTGGCACCAATTTAAGCCAGTGAGAGTTGAGAGGAGATTGTTGGAAGGGAGAGGAGAGAAGGACGTTAGCGGCGGCGATGGAGGGAGGGATCAGGATGGGGACAAAGAGAACGAGGTACAACTTTTATCTTAGGGCGGATATTTGGTTAGGACAAGTATGAGGATGGCGCCACCCGACATTGGCAAGGCTGAAACAAGGTGTATATCTATAAACGGGGCAGGGCATGCCACCGGGTCATCATTATTAGCGGTAGGCGTTGGTCCTTTATTTTGGGTACGGAACGGATATCATGATACTGCCACCTAGGTATTTGACTAGTCTGTGGCGAGTTTGCCCGCCGACCCAACTCAGAGAGAAGCGGATTATATGACGACCTGTCAACCACATTTCCTGACCGAAGTAAATGCATTGGTCGAGATGTCAATCCTCATTCCATACGTTAGGATCCCATCGTGGCGACAACTCGTGAACGCTCCTGCTAGGGCTGTCTATTTAGAAGCCCAACTCTACTGAGTACTGGGTATACCTCATCCCACCCGTCGAAGCGATTTTGCTACATCCCGGCCACTTTGGCCGAGAAGAAGGTCTCCGTATTTGGTGCTGTGACCTTTTTGTTACTGGACACGGTATTGGATCTCTTGTCATTGTGTAATGACATGGAGAGGATACTCTTCTTTGGCCTTGAGGTAGTAAACCAGGACGTTAGCCTTCAACTCGGACGGGCATCACCGCTGCCTGCAATGAAACGCGGGCTGACACTGACCACCAGGTTGACAAGCACCTTTGTCCGCCATCTTTCCCTCGCTGCGGGATTAGCTGGCCAGGCCATGTCTGCCAAGACGAAGCCACAAATTTGACTTGTGTGATCGGCGTAGAGGACGTACACAACGAAGAGGTTGCAGCTGATGTTCATAAGAAGGACAATGATGGCGGTGCGGTGTGTATTGGTGAGACATGTTTGGTTCCCAGGAGTTGGCAAAGGAGACTGACAATAGCCTACCTGAGAGGTTGCCAATCCGGCTGCATTGAACTTCCCATGATCCCCGATATCCTAGAGAATGGTGTCGGGTTTAGTTGGATCAGCTGTGGCAATAGGACTTGACAATGCTGGAATTTACTCTCATGAGGCTGCAATTCTCGGCGGGGTTCAAGGAGTGCAATTTTGACCTGGTCGGGCGTGATTGTACCTTTCACCCATATCTGCTGCATCACTAACTGAATGCACATTATTCAATTGCTCACCGCATACTTCAATGTTTGCTTGTTGATTGGTGTCGTGCGAGACTATACTTTCGGATCTGGCTCCTTCTCCGACCATGCCTTGATGGATTTGGCTCTCTCGAGGCATTCCGCGTTTGATGGAATCGGCGCGACCCCGAGACGTGCTCTTCGGCTTGGTGTTTACCCTTTGCCTGTTCTGGCGGCCATAGTCTTGTTCAGTATTGAGACAAGGATGTTTTCTGAGGCAAATCGAGTGATACGTATACTTGTATATTGTCCTGAGGGGGCATGATGTAGTGTGACAAGAAATGTGGAAAGATCTTTTCGTGAGCTTGCTGATGCGGAATTCCTTGCCCTGTGCCTGCCATGCTGCCATAGTGCAAGTGCGAGCTGTTGTCCACTGATCAATCCATGACTCTGGGCTAGGTGACCTTGTTGCCACTACACAGCGATTTCTTGTGCCGGTGCTCAAAAGAGGCTCGGCAGTCTGTGGGCTTGATTCGCGCCTCGGGTAGAATTGTAATGCTAATTCTCAAAACATGGGAGACCATTCATAACCAAGACGGTCTCTGCGTTGTCAACCTTTGCTGGCTCAAAGCAACCGTCGTAGTCTCTGGTCAGTAGAATGGAAAGTGATGAGGAAAGAGTGGAGAATATTGACCTGAACGACGTGAGCATACATATAATTTTCTCTCATAGAGAGAGGAGGGACCAAATTGAACGCTTTGGACATCATGTTGCGATGTCCAACTTTCGTTGGATGGCCCAAGGAGGGACACAGATCAACCCCTAGAAAAAGAATATAAAAGGGGCCGTCGACCCAAGAAACAACTAAAAGGTCAGCACGTTGTTCGGGATGAGAAGGACGAATGTCAGGCAAATGTCGAACCAAGGTCGGATGTTCATCTGTCGAATGTCTTCACGTTGAAAGAGACGCGATCCCGGTGCCGAATGGAGATTGTTGAGGACGGACACTAAGGCAGATCGCGGTAGTGTCGGTGATATATAGGAGCGACTCTGGAGCCAGGACGTCGACCTGACTCTCAACTTCTCCACAATCAACATGGTGCGCGTTTGGGAAACAAAGGATTGTCATGCAAGTAAAGCCTGTTTCATTTCCGTCTCTTTTTAAGAAAACGGTCCCTCCGACTCTTGTCGCAGCGTATTTTCTCACTTGCAGAATACCGTTGGTATCGCCTCAGATCCGCCTGATGTGTAGGCGTGTCCAAACGGGCCCGAGCGCACCCCCCTAGTGCATATACACCTCCTAACCAGCTAGCCGGAGGCCGCCGTTCACCGCATAATAGGTATCACAGCTGCCTATCACGCCAGCGGTCCTCGCCGCCCACGCACCCACGTTATAGCCGTGTGACCACTCGTTTAAATTCATGCAGCGCTCGTGCGCCCAGACTCTTCTCACCGGCCTCTCCCTCAAGAACGGGAGGTCGATGTAGTTGCCGTCGACCATATTAACTCGAGAGGTGGAATGCCATTTACCTTTTTTGATTTGCGTGTACTTGAGACAGATCCAGCAGAGACGGTGGTTTCGAGGGAAGTAGGTCTTGAGTTGCACCATTGGGATCCGTCGATCCGAAATGTGCGGAGTGTATCGCCACTCGCCACTCCACCAGAGATGGACGGTCAGTGAGATCAGTCTTGGCAAGGCGAGTGATGTCGGCGAATTATTTGCTGGTGAGGCCTAGGGCAATTCGGGACGGCTTGTTGAGGTGGTCCATGATCTCGAGTTGGAGGTCAGTTGGAAGGTTCCACAGTCTCAGCATGGGGATGCTGCTTGCATTTTGGCCTCTAATCTGGCGTCTGCTGCGAGCGCGACCATTCAGAATCTGGAGTATCTTAGTCGGCGATGACGGCGAAGCCAGAAATCGAGCACTCACACGAAGTGAGACAGTGAATTTCGCATAGCGACGGATGACTCGAGGTGCAGTGGATGGGTCTGGTGGAGCACATCGTCGCTTGAGGCGAGCGAGAAGACTGAAACCAACGGAGAAAGCGGCTTGTGCCATGTTGACTTGAGGAGATGATGTAGCTAGTGACAGGTTTTGAGAAAGGAAAGGAAAGGTAACGCTTGACAAGATGTTTGTGGTCGATGAATTGAAAGGCCAAGGAGAGGAGGTAAGACGGTGTCAGCCAAAAATTTAGGAGTCGACGAGAGACTGGTGTTGACATGGGCAGTTTCTGCGAACATTTGGACTTGCGGAGTCAAGGGAATTGCCCCCAGCATATCACCTGCTAGGCCATGGGAGACCAAACATCTTTTGATGCCGCAACCTCGTCCAAAACAACCAAACACCTGCCACCGTGCCCAACACGCCTGTTCCTGTCGCAGCAACCAGAAGAGTCGTGAGTATACGCTTCTGGCTCTTTGATCTCCTGATGACCTCGCTGTATCTCATGTTGCTAAAGCTGACTCGTGAATATTGAGTTGCCCATCCCAAGCTAGGGGCATACTTGTCGAGCCTCTCTTCGATGAACTTGCGCAACTTGTACAATGGAGACGTTACAGAAGAACGCATCTCGATGTAATTAGCCAACGCCAGGTCTGCAATGACGTGCGTGTCCTCAGTTCGTTCGGCGCTGTATTTGGCGAGGGCTTCTGCTCTGTTCGACGCCTGGTCGAGCTTAGAGAATAAAACGCGAACCGATTCCAATCCTGCATTCATCCCTTGACCATAGAAAGGCACCATTGCATTGGCAGCGTCACCGACGATGACGACGCTATCCCCGAAATGGTGCGGCGAACATTTAATACTGATCAGTGGCAGGTGTGGGTTGCGCTTGAACTGGGCCACCAGGTCTGCAGGTGGGATAAATGTGGTCACTCCAGGAAAGTACTTGTCAAAGGTCGAGATCAGCTCCGCATCCGTCCCGTTCTCAAGCTTGGTGAACAGCTCGACAGGCCCAAACAGCGTGCACACAAAAGTATTGTCGAGATTGGGGAGGGCGATGAACATGAAACTGCCAGCCGGCCAGATGTGCAGGTAAGTTGGGGGCATGGCGTAACCCCCCTCTTTGGTCGGAGGCATGGTGAACTCGCACCACAAGCAGTCAATATATATTTGATAATAGTCCATGCGGGCGAACTTCATCATATGATACCTCGTGGCAGAATGGGCACCATCTGCACCGATGCAGAAATCGAAAGACACCTCGATCTCCTGAGGACGGTCCGACAGAGTGGTACTGGTCTTGTCCATAACTTCAAACCAAGCCTTCTTCTTCCGGAAATCCGCGCCTGTCATCTTGTGCTGGAAGAAGAACTTGACGTTTGGTAACGAGTCCAGATGGTCGAGGAGGACCTTGTTGAGTTCCCCACGGTCCACAGAACGCTGAAATCGGCCACGAACATCATATGCTTGGAACTGTTGAAGTAAAGCGCCACTGGAGGAGCGGAGGTGGATCATCCGCCCATACATTCGGATAGTCCGCCCCAGTATCTTGTCAAGAAGATCGGTGTTTCCTGTTGAGTGGATAGCGTCGATGCCCCGCTTGGATAGGGCGAGATTGATTGACTTGGTGAAATTGAGAGGCGTCGTGTCCGCATTGCGAAGGTCTAGGAGGAGACAACGTCGGTTAGTCTCGGGAGGCAGGCCATGGGATTAGCCAGTGCAGACGACCTGAGGAGAGGGGAGGAGCAGGAATGATGGAGGTCAAGAAGTCAGCCCTTAACGAGCCTGCTTCTCGCGTCGCGCAGAAAATCATCAGGGAACGAGGCAGCAGCAAGGTCAGTTGATCTGGGGAGTGCAATTACCGTCACGCAGCTCATATATCTCCACCACAGCCCCGCGAGAGGAGGCATACAGTGCTGCCAGCGATCCGACTGGGCCAGCACCGACGACCACCACCTTCTTCCCTTCCATCCTTCACGAAAACAAGACAGACAACACAGAAATTGACGAAGAGAGTAATATATACGTTGCGACACGGAAATAGATGAGAGGCTCTTGGACAAGGAGAGCGATAAAAGTGATGAATCCAAGTCGTGAATAAATTCAGATGAATGTTGGTCACGAAATGGTGTGACGCTTGGTGATGACATTCAGTTTCGGCACTACTTCGGCTATACTTTAGTAAGCTAAGAGGGAAGCTTATCCGGGAGGAGCTGCTTGGCAAGGCTGAGGAGGCTCAGGAGCAGCCAACATCCAAGTACCTCGTATCTCGCACCAGCATACCTGTCGCAGCAATAGATATCGGAAGAAGTTCATATGGTGTCGCTGGGTCGAAAACACCTTCATGCAGCTTTGAGATATTGCCATTGTTTGCCATCAGCTGAAAAGCCAATCACATCGTGATCTCTAGGATGCAGTCGATCGCAGACTCTGCTGTCGGATAAGTCTTTTGCCGGCGGAGGTTCTTTCTGTGCGGCCCGACACCTCCGCTTAAGATCCCAATGACTCCCATTCTGTTCTGCCTCCAGCATTGAAAGAAGCGAGTGAGAGAAAGTTTCCGTCATGGAGTCAGAATATCGTTGTGAAAGCGCAAGGAGACCCGTCAAAATTGTAAGCCCCACTCCAGCAGAAGAAAGCCCCAGGGAGACTCCTGGACCAGTTCTTGTTCCTGACAAGACAAAGGCTGTCGCAGGAGCAAGCGGTTTAATTGGGAAGAGGCATCTACAGCATGTCATTGATGAGCCGGAAGCGGGTATGTCTGCCAACGATACGAGATACGGCTCGTGCTGACAAACCTCGAACAGAGCTCGTTGGAATCATGTAAGTTCATTGTGCTGCACATATCAACCCGCAACGAGGACGCTGCTTGTATTGACTCCCATAGTGACCCCGCCGCTATCGGCTTTGAGCTTGCAAAACAATATCAGCTTCCATACTTCCAAAATGTGGCCGACTTTCTGGCCTCATTGAAAGCTGGAGCGATCTCCGCAGATGCAGTCATCTTAGCCACACCGAACGGTACACACGCACCTCTGGCAACAGATCTTGTGGTGGCAGACGTATCAGTACTAGTGGAGAAGCCACTGACCGCAACGGGTGCTCAGGGACGTGATCTCTTGAAAGCTCGCAGTTCAGTTGCTGGTGGGAAGGGTCTGATCATGGTCGGTCACCACCGGAGACACAATCCACATACCGTTGCTGTTAAGAAAGCAATTGATGAGGGGCGCCTCGGCAGGGTTGTCGCTATCAATGGAGGTACAGAGCGCCTTTCCCATTCGAACCTACGTGTATTGGAGATATTGTTGCTGATGAGCCGATAGTCTGGGCAATGCGCAAGTCAACGGAATACTTCAATGTAAATTGGCGGCAGCAACTAGGCTCTGGAGGAGTTGTACGAAGCCGCCATTCCCTGAAAATTTTCTCCTCCCCTTGCCGATTTTGTTGACAAGGAAGCCAGGTCTTGAACAACGCAATCCACGAAATCGACCTCCTTCAGTATCTCCTAGGCGATATTGTCGAAGTCTACGCCGTCGAAGGTGTCAAAGAGAGACCCTACCCAGTGGACGAGACCGTCCTTTCTACCATGAAGTTTGCGAGCGGCGCAGTGGGATCGTTCTTGTTTTCTGAGTACGGGACGCTCGTTCATTCATACCTCCTCTAGTAAAAAAGCTGGCAGCTAATGCTCTTGGTCACCGGAACAGTACTGCGACATCACCGAACTCTTGGGAAGCGGCAACGGGGGAAAATCCTCACATTCCCGTCGCTAGGGAGACCTGTCTCACGATCTTTGGCACGCAAGGGTCCATAGGAATCCCCTCGCTGTAGGTTTTGTAGTCCAGCTCCTTTATCTCGGAACCTGCCGGTTGCCCTCGATACAACCCATGACTAATGCTCGAACCTTTCTGAAGGACCCGGTTCCACCAGGACGATCATCCTCTAGCAGAGCAGAATTGGACTTTCCCACTATCAAGAGACGAGACATTGAAAGAGCAGATAGACGGTACACCGCCTCTATCTCGCCAACTCAAGCATTTCATCGCCGCGGTGCGCGGTGAAGTGCAGCCCAACTGCTCGGCTGAAGATGGGTTAAGAGCAGTGATGGTGGTCGAGGCGATATTGAAGAGTTTGGTGAAGCACGAACCTGTTATTGTCGAGACAGTGTAAATCTATCTACCGGATAGAGAAAGATTTAGCCAGTGAATGTCCAGCTCACCGACTCAGGATATATAGCTCTCCTTTGATCCCTAGTTTATTAGTTGCGACGTATAGCGTCAGAGAACCAGCCGCTCATGATTCGTAGTCAAAATTGCAGCAGGGTTAAGACTAAAAGATCTTAATGTCGTCGTCAGTCAAATCTTCAAACCTGAGACTCGGCATATGTTGGAATGTGTCCTGGAACTCCACCCCAGGGTCGACTAGCGACACATATTTTAATGTTTGAGAGGTCGATGATGTTCTTGAAGAGCGAGATTATTTTTTTACGTTTGCCTTGGGATTTGTCCAGACCGTCCACGAAAAGGGCGATGGCTGAATTAATTTGGATGATCCTAGTCGCCCGGCACAATGTTCGCGTAGCTCTTGATCGTCCCAGGCCAGAAAGTCTTCCCCAAACAAGCTGAGGATCACCCATCGGTCTGGACGTGCCAACAATGCGAGTTGGAGGCATTGGTCAAGAATTTGCTATAGAAGTGACATTAACAAGCCCCTCTGTGTCGTTTGTGTTTGAATTCCAGAGTTCCAGAAGGAGAACGACGCGATCACGAAATGCTTGTCGCCACTCCATGTTGTCAAGAAGTTGCGACACCGAGGAACGGGATTGAGTTCTTCCACAGATTTGACCGGATAGCAAATATACTTCATTAAGGTAGACTTTCCTGAGCGCCGGCCTTCCTTGTAATCCAGTATGACTTGACGTCTGACTCGAGCCAGTCTTTGAAAGCGGCCCATTTGTCGTTATCTCTGTGCTTCAGCACTCATTGAAATGTTGTTTCATGTGCCTCTGGAATTATTTCTCTCTTTCATCCCACTGTAGCGGAGACTTGCAAGTAACATACTGAGAGACCGCTTCCCAGCCTCCTCTGGGATAGTCGCTCCCACAATGCAGGAACGTACTTCCGAACGACCTGCTGGGGCGTCGCGTACGGCACGAATGATGTCGGTCTTGAGAAAAAGCTTTGCTAGATCTTGCTGCCTACGATGGAGCTTCCAGGTGACGTAGTTCAAGACAGAGGTTCCGAAGGGGTCCGAAGTGTTGCTTATGGTGCTTCCCCCGGGCTGAGTGCTTTTCCGGACCTCCCGAAGTCCTCTGAGAATCGCACTCTGTTGGATCAGGGATTGGCTGGCATAATATCTAAGCACGGCAATTAGGGCAGGCTGGTCAAATAAGAGGTTCGACAGAGGACCAACCGCATGGAAACAAGCAAGCTCAGAGTCAATTGAGACCTAAAGTCGTTGACTCTTGCCCGAAGGCCATTGATATCATCTCGTTTCCATGTCAACCTGAATGCTGAGTAGAGGGCGTCCCGCTTTCGAGCTGCATCTCCAAGACCAAGTTCATTCAGCGAGCGTACCAACTTTTCAACCAATGTCGCGCACTCCTTGGCCAAATTGAGGATACCTCGATTGCTCTCGCTTGCCAGATCAGTGGCACCTGATTGTGTGCGAATGTCCCGCTAAGATCACTGAGATTGGTGTTGAGAACACGGAGAGATGCTATTTCATCAAGACTTTCCTGGTTGCGGTGAGTGACACCGCGGATCTTGCGAGCCATCGACACGAACGTCGATCCGAAGTCGATGGCCTGAAGGATGCTAGAGCCTAGGCTCAACGCTGCAAGTGCCACAGCCATGGAATCGGGCGAAATGTGAGTATGGGAAAGAAGAGAGGCAGGTAAAGGGCTAAAAGTGCTGAAGATAATGCTGCCTGATCTTTGCGGCTGAGCCTTGCAATATTGCCAGCTGGCGGGCTGAGTGGCAGCTTTGGAAGCATGTCCTTGTAAATCGTTCAGTTCATCGTTGTCGTCAAAATGACAGCCTAGTGTTTACCGAATGAGGCTTGGCAGTGATGGAGCATATTACTATACAATGGCAGCAGCAGTCCCTTCACGGTTCTGGGTCAGCTAGACAATTTCTCGGGTCTTTATCAATCGCCTCCCAGTTTATCTCTCAGAAAGCAGTACACACACGCGCGCGAGAGACGAGAAAATGAACCCCTTTGCGAACCCCGTTTTCTCGTTTCGCAATCGCATTGTCATTCTGATTCAGAACACGGTCGATTTCAGCCAGCGACCCTTCCACGTCCGGCAACGGCAGACTGGCCAAGGATCTGAACTTGTCGGGATACTCCCTGCAAACGGCCGCGAGGTCGTCGTCGACTTCTCTCGTGATCTTCCGGGAAGATGTGCGTAGGAGTCGTCATCCTGTCCAATGCCGCTGGGATTTACCCTGGAGATAGATTGCTCGCGCCGGTGTGGGAAAAAGCTCGAACGAAGGTAAAGTGGTGGTCCTGATTTATCCGACGAGTTGTCATCTTTGCCAATTCTTCGCTTCTGCAAAACAAGGAGACCAGCAAACAGGGCCCTTACCAACAACTTCAACGAATATAGTATGCCTCGGATTACGCGTCCCCCCCCCCCCCCGGGACGCCCTCGTTACATCGAAGGAAATGGTAGCAATACGTAGCATAGTCCTCCACAATCTGTGCAGTGGAATGGGACGTGAATAACCATCTGGGAACAAAGGCGAGCAGGTGATATCGTATACGTTGTGTTCTTATTGCTTCCCTGATATAGGGGGACAGGTATGATGAATTTGGACCTAAGCAAAGAGTGTTGAAGCCACTGCCTGATGTTTCGCGGTATCCAAGCCTGACAGGAAGATGAATCGCTCGGATTCTTATGCCCTGGATTGTGTATGCAGTGGGTCCAACTGGAGCACATTGTCCTCAATCCAGTCGCTCCATCCTGATTGATCATACATTCATCTCGTCGTTCATGATATGGTTACGCGATGTTGGCCGGGTGTAGTGAGCTCATTGCATCGCCCGACTCGGTGTCGGGGGGTAATATGCCAAAGTTATCCATGTCAGGTGCAATGCTGCCCTCAATGCGCCGCCTGGCTTCCTGTCTATCCTCCATGGTAATGCTGCTCTCGTCCTTCTTCATATCCGGCCTATGCGGCTCAACATTCGGTGAGTGTCCAATAGACATACCGGCACGGATCTGAGTAGTAGATAATTAGCAACATGCATAAGCTGAATGCATTCCTGTAAAACTTACCAATGTTTCGAGAGCCCCGATGCTGTTGTCTACAAGGTCACCGTCGTATACCATCTTTCCCGGCTCGAAGAACAAGAGAATGGTACTGCCGCCAAATTTGAAGTATCCGAGCTCTTCAGCTCGTTTGACCCGATCCCCCGGTTTCCGGGTGATAACGGTTGAGCCGACCATCATTGCACCAATGCAGACGTACATGACTCTGCCGTGAGCAACGGAGTCGATGGGTACCAGAACCCGGATATTTTCACCGTAGACATCCAATGCCGATCTGATGGCCATGGGATTGACTGTGTAGTATTCACCCTCGATGGCCTTTGGTGTTCCCAAGGTACCGTCGACCGGAATGTGGAAACGATGATAATCTTGAGGCGCAAGTCTGAAAATGCCCATACTGCCGCCTTTGTATCGTTTCGCCTCCAATGGATATGCCTCACCAAATAGTTTCTCGAGCGAGTAATCTCTCCCTTTGACCCAAATTCGTGTCGCATCATCGATGGTATTGAACACAACGGAGCGACAATCTGCGGGAGAGACGATGATTTCAGCTCGTTCTGGTGCGCTGCAAGGCCGAGCGTTGGGTTTCAAAGCACGATAGAAGAATTCGTTGAAATTCTTGAACTCGGAAGTTGGGAGGAGCACTTCGGACATGTCGAGCTGGTGGAAGGCAATGAATCCGGGAATTTGCGCCACCGAGGCTGGATCATCGAACTTCTTGCCCTGCTTGATTGATAACGATCGCAGCATTTTTTTGATTCTTTTCTTCTCCATTTCGCCCGCGCCCAAACCTTTATAGAGCAAGCGGATGCCAATGCGAACGTACACAGACATTCGTTCTTCATTGATCTGCCCGGTAATCCGATCTTGAACGAGAATGTTCGCGCTGTTAGCGCCCAGCCTGTAGCCTCCGTAACTGATCTTAGTGATGACCTTGGAGTACCACTTCCGCTGAGCTTGGCTCTGTGTCACGAAACCGCCCATTACTAGATTATTGACCTGCCTCCAATCCGAGCTGGCACAGGTAGCAATGTGCGTTATGATGTCGGCTTCGGTGCGTTTGTTCAATTTTGGTTGATGGCATATTGGACACTCCCGAATCTCGATGACATGTTCTTCGTCTCCTTCGTCCGCAAGGTCGTTTCCGAGCAATTTGCCCTCCTCACCATCAGCCCCGGTTGCCTCTTGTGTAATAGTTGGCACTTCATCATTGTTGCTAACTTGCGGGGGAATGACATCCTTCTGTGTCGAAAATACTTCGGCGCTCTTGATCTTCTCGAGCTGGGATTTCTTTTCACTGCTCTTCTGCAACTGTTCCTCCAGACAAATCACCGCTTGGTCAAAGGTCAAATCCACCTCCCCAACGTCTTCGTTCTCGGCGGCAAACCTCTTGAAGAACCTGTCAATTGTTGATTCTTTCAGAGTTGACCCGAGTGTATCAAGCATCGTGGTGAACTCGATTTTACTGATCCGCCTACTGTCATCGGCATCATACTGTTTCAACATTGCCCTCCAGAACTGCTGCCTCAGCGCCTTGTAAGACAGATATCTTCCTCGGATGTGGAGCTCGGGACTATGCTTGTCTTCCCATCGTTCCTTATTCTTGAGTTCCAACGGGATCACGTAGGGTATCATCGTCGGGTCTTCTGCGGGTTGAGGTTGGGGAAGGTCAATGCCCGGAGGAGTTTTCAGATTGTTTCCATTGTTTCCATTGTTTCCATTGTTTTCAGACGGCATACTCGTTGGCGGCGGAGGCCGACTGGCATCGTCACTACTTGAACTGTTATTCGTGCTCGACAATGATACTTGAGAGTCGTCCTTTTTCAAACCGGGCCTGGTCAGCTTTGATAGACTGTTGGCCGAGGTGGTGCGTGATAAGGGGATGCGGAATCTGCCCTTTTGCTGCATTGCCGGCGAAAACTCTGGTGGCTCAGGAAGGTCATAGAGACCAGTCTCTGGATCCTCTTTGGGAGCAGATTGGATCATTTTCTGCAGGGGGAATGATGTCGAAGCCACGAAGTCGTTTCCTGACAAGCTGTCTCGATCGATCACACTGAATGTAAAGGAGTAGCCGACCTCATTGCGCTTGATTTGAAAGACCATCTTCTCGTTGTACACCGGGTTCAGATTGTGTCGAACCACCCTTGTTCGCAAGACCTTCCGCCCCAGTGCAGTAACCACAAAGGGGTCCATATCAAAAGAGGTCCGGGTCATGTTTCGTTCAGGTGGTAGATCGATGATCTTGACAATCTCCAAGAAAATAATGCCATTGACATCGTTGTCTTCTGAAAGGAAATTGTAAGCTCTTGCCGCAATCGACCGGCGTCGGAGGCGTGCGAGTCTTTTCTTCTTCGCTTTCTTGTCGGCAGTTTCGGGTTTCTGGGGGAATTCAGTCTCTGTGACTGATTCCTCCTGATCCTCGTCAAGCTCGTCAAATTCCTCGTCCGCGGCAAAGTCATCAAGGTTCGAAGAGACACGGCTCAACTCATCGTCCTCTTCTTCGGCTCCGAGGTAGGCTTGAAACTTTTTCCGGATTTCGTCTGGACTAGCGGACGGATTCGCAGAGTCGACGAGAGAGAATTGCATGTACACTTCTCCGGACACATTGCTCGGTTTCTTCCCTGTCGGTCTCCGCGAACTCAGCTTGTACCACTTTGGCTGGGTCTGTATCTGTCCATTGGTGAAGATATCTTCGATCGGGATGTCAAATTCACCCATATAGTCTTTGCCAAAGCGATCCTTATCCCAGCACATGCATTCAAGTAGTGGGACGCCCGTCAGAGGCATATCGAAGCATATCTTCCATTCCGGATTGAGATTCTTCGAAATTGAGGGTGTGGACTGCTTCGCATTGCCGAGAGTGACCACAAGGTACTAGGACTGTTAAAAAGAGGTTCTGCTTGGGGCAGAGATGGGAGCAGAAACGTACGGGATCGGAGGTGCCAGATCTATCTTTTGGTGCCAGATTTCGTGCCTGCAGAGATGGTGAGCGACGGCGGAAAGCGGTGTTGACGGAACCGTAGATACCTTTATAACATAGACCTTGAGAATAAGGGGTTTTTGATCGACCAAGGCAGCGGTGCTGTTGTTGTTACTTCCCAGCCGTGGAGGACTGGGCCTTCTGCTGCCATTCCCATTAGGAGCAGAACCACTGGCACCCTGATCTTTGTCTTTGTTTTTCCCTCCGAGTTGGCTGAGGCCTCTAGGCAGCGATATGTGCACCATGGTTGGACTTTTCGATGGAGGTAGAGGTTGTCGGTCGGTCTTGGTGGTGCCGGCACCCTTTTGACCATGCGTAGGGGTGAGGCTATCTGGAAGAGAGACTTGAGGCTGAAACAGGTCGATTGAAGCTGAAAGGGAAGGATTGAGGGGTTCGGGGGCGGACTCAGGTGGGAGGAATGACACGAAGGGTGGATCTCGATCGAAGCGCACAGACTCCTGTAAGGACCAACAAATCAATGGTCGAGTTGGCAGGAAACTGGCCAGGTGAAACCAGGTTGTGATGGCTGTTTAATGTTGTATTTTGGCACAGGATGGGTCGGTGTGGTCTTGTCGGTGGCCCTCTTTTGGGAGGTGTTGAAGTGGAGGGTGCGAAGGAGGGTGAGGGAGCGCACCCCCAGCTGCGTTGGGGTTATGATGCCATAGGTTCACTACAAGTAGGTACGAGGTACCCGGTACTCCCACCACTTCCCCTACGAGGGGCAGCGCTACCTCAGCCCCCCCAGCGTCCTGGGTGACCAGGTCCCTACCGCACCAGAGGCATACGTATGCAAAGTCACTAGCTACCAGCTACATAACACCACTGCTATGTCGACGAATCGGGTAAGTTGGCGATCACACTCCCACAATCAAACGAGGAAGTTCTCGATTTTCATCCACCTTGTTTCGAAGCCTGTCAGGCACCAGATCCTTCCCGATCCCTCGACCGTCCGCCCCATAAGACATGGCAACCTGGATTTCTCGTCCATCCGAGTCGGAAGGACACCATGTTGGCCGTCTGGTTTACGCTCGGTACGGGAATTGGAGTGAAGCCAGATATATATCTGAATATGAACCACGCTCTTTCCCGAGGTCACGGAACCCGATTTTGCCAGCGTCTGACGTGGAACCACCCTACCTTCCTCGCTTCTTGCAAGTACATGATTACTTGGTCCTTGAAGGAAGGAGGATATGATATGCTGACAAGAGATATACGAATGTTTTATTCGTCTTTGTCAAGGTTGCTCAATACCCTTAAAAGTGACGAATCAGAGATATCCAACCCTATCGAGAAACGCGGATGATCTGAAACTCGAAAAAAAGATTTGCGAAAGGACAGCAATCCGCCCAAGGAAATCGAAAGAGGAACATATACCGCCAACCTCAGTCCAACTTTTGATTTGACGCCGTTGTCACTTGGATTGAGAGAAATCGTCCACCCAGAAGTGAAAGGCCACCAAGGGGTCCGCAGGAGCCAGCATCAAGTATTCCCACGTGTAAAGGAAGGTGTCTGTCATGGACAGGACCCAGAACTTCCACGGTTCACCTCAGTCGATTGGCACCAGTATGGACGGTCCAAACGCTCGTTTTTCGAGTCGGTATCTCTTGACCTTCTCTCGTGAATCCGGCCTCCTAGTTTTGTCACTAGGTTCACCTCTTCCGACGGCCTCCCTGTCATTATGCCGGTCACTTCTCCCCTCATCGCGTCGCTCCCTTCGCCGGTCTTCGTCCCGGTACCTGACTGCTCTGGCGGTATCGTTGGTCCTGCTCCTCGCTGGGGCTGACGAGGCCGGTGTCACCTGGACGGCTGGCGGGTCGTCCTCATTATCCACAGCCTGGTCTAATGAGTCACAGAACAGCTTCTTGACATGAGCGACCACTTCTCTAAACGATGGTGCAGTCACTTCGCCGATGACAGCAACGTCGACTTCGCGTTCCACATTCCATAACTCCTCGCAGTTCAATGTCAGTTCAGGTTTGGGTCGGAAGCCGTTGGTATACAACTCGACCTCAACGCCCCTTAAATTCAGTCCTCCATCTCTGGTATTTGCGATGACAGGACCCTGTTGTCTTGGCGACGGGGTGACTGTGCGAGCCGGCTGCGCTGGGGGCACAACAAGCCGATGCGTCTTGTAGAGCGAGGACAATTTGCGGCCGTGGTGCGCGCAGAAGGACAGACATGTCAAGGAAGATTGCGTGTCGGTGCTCCTACGCAGTACAAGCATCACCGTGTCATTTATTCGACTGTTTGCTAGGTTGTCCCTGATGTAGATAATCGTTCCGGGGGTGAGTCTCTCTTCGTGGCCGCTGGCCCAACCGAGTGTCAAATCCCTGCTGGGATTGCTTGCATCAGTGCCTTCGATGAAGTCGCCCAAGTCATGAAAGTGATTTGGCCTAATTTTGCGCCGGCCACTCTCGTTCGCTGTAGTTGTCGGAGGCGGCGCATGCCTCTCTCGGCCCATGTTCAGATTAGAGAACATCCTGGGCTTTAATTGGTCTGCGGTGCAGGTACCTATAAGGTTGCTTGCGAGGTACAGGCAATGGAACGGTCCCTAATCCTGTGCGGTGTTGGAAGGGGCTGATGCTTTGTATGTGATTTGTGGTCGATTGGGGATGATATAGCTGGGCTACGTACGAGGAGGTACGCATTAAATAGGCGTGATACATACAATATCTTCCACTGGAAGTGCCACTACCACTGCCACTTTGTTCTTTGCTTGGTGGGCTGCCTGGAGCGTTGCGATTGTGGACAGGACCTTGCATTCTGCCTCGTCAGGCAGCAATGTGCGTGCCATAGCCTTGCGAACCATTCCTGTGAAATCGGCGGTCACAAGCCACTACGGGTTGCCTTCCATAATTCTCCGCGTAGGTCGCTTCGCAACGGACCGGTGACACGGGGAGAGCATTATTCGTCCCATCCGAGTTTGGCTGGTGCTCATCAATGAAGATGTCAGAACAAGGATATTTTGCAAGATTCGGCTTGACGACGGGGAAACGAGGCGGAGCGGGGTTGCCTCGTCGCTCGTGTTTGGGGGATCTTCAGACCCCTTTTGCCAAAAGCCGCGCAGAAGTCCTAGATTGTGGCCTCGAACCTTCGGTCTGGTGATGTTGTGGAATTGTGGCCAAGATTTTCGGACTTTGGCCCTCGGAAAGGCAAGCATGAGGCAAGGAGTGGAAGGACTCAGTTCAGAACAGCCTTTAGCGGTTTGGGTCTTTTGCGCATCATTTATTGATCACCTTTCTTGTTCCATCGAGATTGACTGCCAACAAATAGATGGATTCGAGGCCGACGAAACCGTCCTGATCAGATGAGTCTGTTCTCTTCGATCTCAACTCCCATGCGTCGAATTCTCAGGCAAGTATTCTCCAGCGGTGCGTTCGACTTTCTTCTTCTCCTTCAGGGTATCGACGTTCTCCTCTTGGACACTCTTAACAATTAGATGGGCAGAGTCCCTATCTTCCACAACGATCCCCCCTCCTTTCGCCATTGACAAAAGCTCGTGACTCGCCTTCGTTCGCTTACCGGTCTCCTTATTCCAAACCCACCCTTCTTTTAGCCACATCCAAGTAAGGTATGCTCGAAGTTCCTTATCCAAGGGAATCACCCTCTTCCACTCGGGCTCAAAAGTTTTAGGATCCTCTGCACCTTCGCCATTCCAACTCTTGGCGACTCCCCTCAGCTGATCACGGCAAAACATCCGCCAACTGTCATGAGAGTAAGGCCCGAGGCCTGGCAGGTGAGAAATCTCCCATGCCACACGTTCATCTTCGTCGTCGACAACTTCGTCTTGCTTGACATCTCGTCCATCGCCTTTTGATGGATAATTGTGCTTTTTATAGCGCTTTCCGCGTGCAGGCGGCCGCTCGAGCCAGACCTTGGCCATTGCGACGCATTTTCTGGCTCGTTGATTCTGAAACCCTAGACCATAGATAATCGAAGTAACCTCGCTGACGTCGGCATTGGCAAGATCTATCGGCGTGGGGTAGCGTGACATGAGTTGATAGAAGACAGGCATTGCGCGCTCTCCAGGCGTTTTATTCAAGAAAATGGTCGCAATAAGGAGACGGAATGGATCATGAGCTAGTCTCTCTTGCATCAGGCCGAACTTGTCGTGGGAAAGAGGAGGGAACGGCAATGTCGCCAGGAAGGTAGGTCGATGTTTGTGCACTTGTGGGAAATATGGTGACGTTTTTGACCTCCGGTGCTTCTTGGCTGCGACCTTGATTTCCTCGGCTTTAGAAGCAGCTGAAGGGAGTTGAAGGTATGGCAAGAATGGGTCAGGCCCAATGTCGTCTGGGACATCTGTGAGACTTGAATCTGAAGAGAGCTCATCGAGGTTGAGGCCATAGTAGACTCGGCGGCTGGCAGGCGTTTCTGGTGGTGTGGCAATGACTGGAGCACTCTCACGGTCGGAACCTAATGCGTTGTTAAACATGTTGTTTTTCTGTCTCAAAGTATCAACCTGCGGTGCATCTTTGGGCTCCTCCATCACGAAATGCCTGGAGACATAGGTAACCTTGCGACGCGTCCCAGTAGCTCTGGGCTTCTTGAGCGTCTTTGCCGCTGGTCCAGCTTGAACCTTTTCCCGCGAGGAGTCATTGTCAACGATCATTCCCAGGTCATTGGTAGGAATGACTGGCAGCTCAGGCTCTGAGTAGGGAGAAGGAGGTGGCGACAGCAATGTCGCATTGGACAAGCCTAGCTTTGCTGAGGTCATCGTTGGGCGACGCGACGCGTCGGTCTGACAAAAAGCAACAGAGCAACAGAGAGCTGTCTGGGAACAAGAGAAAATCAATCTGTTGCAGGAGTTGCATGTCTTGGAAGCCCTCTATTCTGTGGTTTCTCTCCATGTCTTCCATGCAGCTACCTGGCTGGGTATGCACGCAGGTCGAGGGCGTGTCGATTATACATTTCAATCTCTATTCACTGCATTCGGGGGTGAATCCATGCCGCTCCCAGTCCGAGGTTGTGGGCACTTCACCTCAATTTGATGGTCCTTAACCACTATTCAGATTCCAGAGTCCTCCATCCTCCAAGCCCCAGATGGCCAGCCTACTTACATTGTCCCATTCAGATCTGTCGGCCTCATAGCCACGAAGTTGAAGTTGTGAACATTTGTCAATCCTCAACCATCGTTGGTCGCCACCCGCCCGGGGAACATTGACGCAGCAAAGAGGGAGCCAATCATGATCGCAAGGGCGTGAGCGAAGCGAGACAGCTCCACATCCTTGAGCGCGCAATTTCGTTCTGACTGTGATGAAGAGACTTCCTACTTTGTGCTGGTGTTTTGACCGATGTGACCCTTGGAACAGGAAGTGAACAGTTCTGACTAAACACCTAAAGAAGTTTTGTCGACTCGGTAGACTGTCTCCGGAACGATTCTACTGCTTCAACCAAGTCTCGCAGACCGTACCATATCCCTCTCCGCACAAATCGAGCCCGCCACCAACACCAAGATGGGTGAAGCAGAAGAAGTACAAGTAGGAGAGGTGGAAAAAAGAGCAACAGCTACGATTCGACGGAAACCTGTGCCCACGCAACTGCTACCTCGAAGCCCCAGTACAAACCAAAGCTTCCTGAACCGATGCAGGAACCTCTCGCGCAGAGCCCGCATCATTATCTTGGTTCTCGTGCTGGCAATCATTGTCCTCATCATTGGCCTTGCAGCAGGCCTTTCGACGCGCAAACACAAGCAGAACCTGCCCCTTCCCTCGGGGAATGGCGGTCCCTACACTGGCGATCTGACTTACTACGAACCCGGTCTCGGTGCGTGCGGGATTGTGTCCGATGATAGCGACAAGATTGTGGCCATCTCACACATTGTATTTGATGCAGTCAGTGTTGGCAGCAACCCGAATGCAAATCCACTGTGCGGCAAGAAGATTAGGGCGCGGAAGGACAATAAGAGTGTGGATCTGACAGTCGTGGACAGATGCACTGGCTGTCAGCCAATGGACATCGATGTCACCATCAATACTTTCGCTGAACTCTCCGACGTTGACCTCGGTAGAGTATTGGTGCAATGGAACTGGTTGGAAGATGTGCCTGTTGATGCTCAAAGCTGATGCGCACTGGGGTAATGCAAGACCCAAACGCGACACCGCAGATACCGCTTCCATGGAATACACCGCGAGTGCAACAGCGTTGCAAAGAGATAGCATCCTCCTTGAGAAAAGGCATGCGCAGCCTTGCTGGGAAATGAAGGCACTTCCTCGTTACCCTCCTGGATCCAATAACGTCAATGGAGATCCACGCCCGAATTCGGACATCAGCGTTAGTCGATTGGATATTCATTATGTTTCCTAATCCCTCCTACTGTTGGACAAGCAACTTCTGTTCAACCTCAAAGAAAGGTGCGGAAGGGCCAAACTCCTAGACGATGTCTATCGTGGCACTGGCAGATGGACAGCAGTAGGCCCATGCCTCCCCACGCTTGCAAGATTTCTCTAATGTTGTTCAAGGTCCAGCGTCACCCTTGATGTCCTTCACGATGTCGCGGCTCGCAACAACATCAGGATTCCGTCTAAAGTGGACGAAGAAGCATATCTGCTTGTACTTCAATCAGCTGACATGACGGCTGCAAGTGTCAACAGCCTGCCAGACTACATCGATCCTCGACTCGAGCCTGTCCCTACGATCGGCGGACGAGAGTATTGGAAACCCAAAAAGAATAGTCACAATGCGTGGAGTCACCAAGCACATCTTGTGGCAGAAAGACCACTGTCAGACGTTCTCAACGGTCGCAAAGTCATCATGAAGGATAATATGTCTGTTTTTGGTCTGCCGCATACTTGTGGAACTTTTCCTCAATTTGTTTCCAAGGACGGAAATTATCCGATTGCGGCGATCGATGCGTCAATAACAAGGAGATTACTTGAGGCTGGAGCCACCATTGTGGGCACATCGACATGCGAGAACTATTCTCTCACTCCAATGTCCTACACTTCGGCCAACGGACCAGTCCACAATCCTTGGCTCCACGATTATAATGCTGGTGGGAGCACCAGTGGAGGGGCATGCCTTCTTGCGCTGGGGAACGCCCGAGCTGCCGGGGTTCCTGGTCTGGAGGAAGCCGGGGAAGATGTCGACCTAGCGATGGGTGGAGATCAAGCCGGGAGTATTCGCCTTCCGTCATCCTATTGCGGCGTCTATGGTCTTAAGCCCACGCATGGACTAGTCCCGTACACAGGAATTGCTGGACTCCATCCAATGATCGACTACACCGGACCTATGGCAAGGAAATTGGAGGATATAGCCGCTCTACTCACAGTGGTTTCCGGTTATGACGGGCTGGATTCTCGCATGACGCCCGAATCGCCGCTTCGCCAACATGTTGTTGACTATGCAAAACAACTCGCTGCTGCAGAAAACCCGGGCAAAGGCCTTAAAGTTGGTATCATAACAGAGTCACTTACTTCGCCGGGCACTCAGACCGAAGTTGCAGAAGCTGTCCGTTCGGCT